TAAGCTGGGCTGAGAGGGGTGGGGCGGAGAATACACAAGTTTAGACACCCTAATTCACACAATAAACATATTTAAAGATTTTTAAATATTTTTAAAAAAATTATGAGAGTGTTTGAATAACACTGGGTGAAGAGACTTTTTTAAAGAAAGAAAATCCAGAAGCCATAGAAGAAAAGGTGACAGATTTGAATAAATAAAAAATTTTAATTCTTTTATAGTAAAAACACCATAAAATCAAAATGCAAAAGAAAGAGAGAAAAAGTTATTTGAAATACATACAGAGTTAATATCACTAATAAAAAGTAAAGGATTTGAATAAAGCTATTCACAGAAGAAAAAATAGAAGTCACCAATAAACATGAAATATTGCTTAACCTTTGGAAAATTGAAATCCAAATAATGAGCTATCCTTTCAAACCCATTAAGTTCACAACTTTTGAGGGGGTTTTTAATGATAACATCCAGAATATGAGAAAACAGGTCATCTTATACATTGCTGGTTAACTTGTTGAATAGGCAACCTTTGGGGAAAGTAATCTAGCAAATATCTATTTAGATTTAAACTATGCATGTGTATCAGCAAGCTCAGTTTTTAACAATCTAGCCTACCAATTTAAAAATATCTGTATATAAGGTCTATTATGTTTATTACAGCATTAATTGTGGTGAAGAAACACTGAAGAAAATCCATTCTGTCCGTTAAAAGGAAAGTAATTGAGAATCTATGGCACACTATGGTGCCTCCATACCATGAACAATTATTATTCATCTATTAAAAAGATATATACACATATACACACACAGAGGGCGTCAAAAAACTGTAGGAAACACAAGTTCAAGAGAAGAGAGGAGGGCTACAAATTCAGAGGCTGGAGTATAGTGAGTTGAAGTATTGTAGATGTTAACATAACCAAGAAGCATGATGGTGAGTCTTCAAGTAATAAGGGGGAGTGACAAGAAGGTATACAGAGGGTGCCAAAAAAATATATACACATTTGAAGAAAAGAAAAAACTATTAGAATTGTAATACTCAATATATACCAATAACAAAAGATGAATACAAGTCACGTTTGACTTCTGCAATTACAAGAGTTGCTCAACGTGGTTACCAGTTGTCCAGACACTTCTGTTTATGGCGAACTACTGCTTGAGCAACGTTGACCAAAGGTGTTCACTTGTATACATTTTTTTGGCACCCTCGGTATGTATATTAACATGGAAGGATGTCTATGACAGGTTAAATAGAAAAATCAAGTTAAGGATTAATGTAAATAAAACATAGATGAAGAACTCCCTACATATGAATATGTGTATATTTGAGCACAGAAGAAATTTAGACCCTAATTCACACCTTGGAGTGAGGACAAGGTTCTAGAAAGAGTGAGGCCTATTGTTTATGTTTTTCTGCATTCTTTGGTTGGTGCAGAGAACATTATTGCTTTATTTTGAAAGATGTGGCAGACATTGATATTTGCCTATTCAACATCCATTCTCCTCATTCTCTTATTTAGTAACAGAAGCCCGTTGCCACTGAGAATGAAAGATGACATTTTTCAACTACTTTTATAGCCAGATATGGCCATGTAATCAAGTTCAGTAGAATGTACTAAATGTTTTGTGTGGGACTTCAAAGAAGTCTTTTTAAAATGGAGAAAGCGAGTCCTTTTTTAAAATATTTTTTTGCTGTTTGGAATGTGGGTGTAATGACTTAAGCACTGGCAGCCATTTTAGACGATGGAGTTACCTGGAGGATGGTAGAGCAGAAAGGAGCCTGGATTTCTGATGATACTGCCGAGCCACTATAATGACTGTAAACTAGTTACGTTTGGACTTCCTTTATGTGAACAAGAAATACTTCTGTCTTGATTTAACAGTTGTTATTTTGTGGGCTCATGCAATATTCAGTCAAATCTAATCCTAAATAATACAAAGAGAAAATAAATAAATAAAGCATTTAACAAAAGCAAAAAAAGAGTCATGTTGACCATTTTCCCCACTGCTTGAGAGTGATATTGAAGATAAAAAAAATCTGCAACCTTCTAAATGGATGATGTATAAGATCTGATATAGGGGTTATGTCTTCCTAAAACAATACAACCCTAGGAAAATTACATGTCTACTTATTATCCTAATGTAAAATGTTGAGTTAACCATCTAACACACTCTACCACCATGTAGCCTACAATTTGTCCATATTTTGGATTCCTCCAATTAGGTTTTGTCTTTTTACAATCAAGTCCTTTGTTAGCAAAACGTTCCCCAGGTCATAAAATATTTTCTCCATGGGCTGCAGTATTTCCTGGCACTTGTTCACTTCAGTAAAATGACCAGTGTATTAAAAACCCAACAGAGTTTCTGCAGAAGCCAGTGATGGCATGGCACCTCTTTTGTGGCATGTGTGAAATCTGCCCATCACTATAAACATTCTTCTGCAATGTGACACTTTGTCCTTAG